GGCGGGGGGGGGGAAGAGTGGCGAGGCCGCTTTGGAGCCGGGGGGGTGGAGGAGACGGAGGAACCGGCGAGATGGGGGGAGTGGAGAGCTTACCTGCTCCTGCTGGTTCCTCCTACGCCTGCTGAGTTTGCAGCTCCCCCCCCCCTGTGAGTTTCGCGGGTCTTCTTTCTTGTACAGCTTTAATTACACACACATTGCAGCTGTTACACCTGAGCAACCACAAAATGCGCTGCCCTCTATTGCAGCCACCTCTGGGGAGGAACGCGAGAGAATTTAGGATGCAACCTGGCAAAGTTATCATGGCTTGAAATTGAAGGGACTGCCTACTCCCATACAGGCCCATAGCTAGCATGGGGCAACGGGGGCGGGCCCCCTAGTGGTTTTGATGGGCCCCTCCTCGAGCCATGGTTCCCCCCCCCCAAGGGCCACCTCGCCCCGACTGCCTATCGGCAGGGAGAATGAGGGGGGCACAAGCAGCCGCGAGGCCAGGCTTGAGAGAGCGGCCCCGGGCAGGCAGCGAGTGTGAACGGTGCAAGGAGAAGCCTCCATCTCGGGCTCCCACTAGAGCCTTGCTGTGCCACCCACCAGGAGCAGATAAGCCCAGCCAAGCAGACAGGAAGGCAAGCCGCCTCCTCCTCTTGCTCCTGGCAGGCACACCTGGCTGCGCTCCATTCTGTGGCCAGCCCGGCCGCTGTGTGTCTCGCCTCTCCCAGCCCCGGGAGGGAGCCGAGGGTGGATGTCAGGCTGCCCCTTGTGCCGTGCCACGGGAAGAGGAACTGGGGCTCCGGGGAGGTGGGGGGGAGAGCCAGATGCTCTGCAAGGAAGGCCTGCCCTTGCCGAGAGGTGGTGGCGGAGGGAAGCTACGGCCGCCGGGCATTACCACCACCCCCCTGCCCTGGAGCCTGGGGAGTACAGAGCTGCCTTAGGGTTTCTAATTGAATTAACTTTGTTTTAATTGGCTACTGTCCCCCCCCCTCAAATCTCCAGCCATGGGGCTGCTTTGGGTGCCCCCATCACCTGAGGATAGACGGGTAGCGACCCTCAGAAAGGACCTTCTCAGTTTCAGCACCAAAATGTTGAGAAATCAAGACTGCCTTCCTTCCCTGGGGAGGTGCCGTCTCCCTCCCTCCCTCATTGCGTTCCGCCAGCAGGTGAAGATTTCTGTTTGGTGTCGTGGTGAAGTGCGCGGACTCTAATCTGGGAGAACCGGGTTTGATTCCCCATTCCTCCACTCGCACCTGCTGGATGACTTTGGGCAAGCCATAGTTCTGGTAAGAGCTGTCCTTGAAAAAGAGCAGTTTCTGTCAGAGTTCTCTCAGCCCCACCTACCTCACAGGGTGTCTGTTGCGGGGAGGGGAAAGGAAAGGAGTTTGTAAGCCGCTCTGAGACACCTTTGGGTAGTGAAGGGCGGGGTATAGATCCAATCTCCTCCTCCTCCTCCTCTTCTCCTCCTCCTCCTCTTCTCCTCCTCCTCAGACTAGCAGCAGCTCTAGAAGCCGGTTTGGTGTAGTGGTTAAGAGTGACCAACTCTAATCTGGGAGAGCCGGGTTTGATTCCCCACTCCTCCACTTGCAGCTACTAGATGACCTTGGGCAAGCCGTAGCTCTGACAAGAGCTGTTCTTGTGTTCTCTCTAAGCTGTGGAGTCTTGTGAGCAAAAATTCTACTTTGTGAGCTACTGGCATTAAAGTTGTGAGTGAGCGATTTGGCGACTGTATAAATCAGTTTGCTCTGGAGCCATCTTTCCTGAGCTAAGAGAAAAATGTGTGAGCCGGAGGCTAAAAAACTGTGAGCTAGCTCACACTAACTCAGCTTAGAGGGAACACTGCTCACAGGGTGTCTGTTGTGGGGAGGGGAAGGAGTTTGTCAGCAGCTCTGAGACACCTTTGGGGAGTGAAGGGC